CCCCCCCCCCCCTATCGGTGGGATTTGCCCATCCCAGCCTTGTCGAAGGGAAAGTTCAAGAGTTTATCCTTTCAACAACATAGCTGAGGATAGACTATGTAGTGACACCCAGCGATTAGAGATGTTAGTTTTGACATCAGAGGGAATCAGTAGGTTGGCGGCAATTATTTTAGAGGCCTGAGTTGAAAAGATCGCCTGAAATGAGGCGTCTTTCTGAATGTTGTGGAGAGAAGGGGATTTTGTGTATTATCAAGTTGTCGTGGCAACGCTCAGGTTTGTTCGCCGCCTGAAGTGCTATGGGTGTTTGCTCTCCAATCACCCCTGATCAGAATGGTAGCTTCGGTTTTCAAGCCTCTTATGGATCTTGCCAACTAGAGTTTCCGAACTCGTAGCAGAACATAGAATTTCCTAGTGCAATTTTACATTTGCTTGTTAAATCTCCTCTTACGCAGTTGTATGGTGTAGATAATAAATAAAATTTTTTCCGTAGAAAGTAGCCTTTTTATGGGGTGAGACTACACTCAAAGATATATTTTTACAAATAGAGATTGTTAACTTTTCCGATTGCTTGGTTTGGCTAAGTATCTACTGACTATCTATAAAACGTAAAGTCAAGGAGTAAATTGAACACTTCAATAGGTCCCACGACTTCTCTATCCCCCGCCGTGGTGTATGGTGCAGGCCTCTGTCGAACGGAGGAGGTGGAGGTGGTACTGGAGGCCTCGACATCCCAATCGCTAGGCGGGGAGTCCCGCCGACGCACCGGAGGTCACTCTACTAGCCTCTTTGGCTTCTCTCTCCAGCCACCTAGCCCACAAACTCGGCACGACGAACCTCTCACCAACTTCCCTCTCATTGCTAACGTCATTCCTGGTGGACCTGCTTTCCAGTAAGTTGACTCATCTAATCTTTCAGGAGCTAGGAGCTTAGCCTTCATGTGGGATTATCTACTTGGCTCCACCGAGGTTAATATGGCTTTGGGTGAATCTGTCATCCATTAAGTCGACTTTGTTCAGCCGATTTCATTGCGGACATAGGCGACTTCACTTCCTTTGGGCTTATTTACTATTCATTCTGCCTTTTGAACAGTATCAGGTCGTGTTCTGACAGGCATTTTTTGGTGTGCGACAGCGCTGGTGAAATGAGAGACTCCCTTTCATGAAGTGGCAATCCACTATTGTCAAGATTAACCAACAGAGTGAACTTAGACAAATTACTAATCTCCCTATTTTTTTCTTTCTCAAATGCTACTTGATATGTTTTAACCAGGTAAGTTCATTGTACCGAAAAAGTTAATCCTGTTGTGAATATTTAGTGTATGAACAAAAAACAGTTTTTATAGTGACAATCTGTCGCAGTTACTCCTACCTTAAGCATGACCTCTTACTGTATTCCTCCTAGGGTGTTTGTTTAGACAAATTTTGGGACTATTTCAGCACATCGAGTGCTCTACTTTTCAGAAGTCACTTAGTCTACAACACTGGATCTGGAGTGAGGGCTAAACGCTTCAAAAAAGATTTCCACTCAACTTCGCAGATGTCATTAAGAGGGCTTTTTTATTTTTTTTTTGCCCCTAGAATATGCTACAGTCTGACCCGCTTGTTGACAGGACCAGTCGCTCCTTTTTCTCCACTTTCGTTACATGTTGAATAACTTTTAGATGGGACAAATTCATCTTGGAGAAAAACCTACACTGACATGGGTGACAATATTAGGCGTTACTTTAGTGTTTTTAAAAAAAGGAAATCTGACTATAGCCAGAAAGAGCATGGAGTGTCAGACTTACTACGAGTAAGTGTGGCTCATTCGGAAGTGAATTTGGAAATATTTTTTTAGGGGTGCGATCCCTTGCGTTAAAGAAGATGTATGGATCAGAAGTACCTTGGAGACTCTCCGCTATCTCGACAACTGACTTTAAGCATCAGAGACTTGACTTTTAATAATACTGTGGCGTAGCATTTTAGGTGTAG